CGAAGTGACCACCATGGAAGCATCCGGTCGATATCCAGATCTATGCTTCTCACAGTTCACCAGCTTGGTTTTGATGCCGTCCGAGCTGCCATCTTCTGAAAGGCATCTTTCCTCTTCTCAGGCAGACGCTAGGTCGTCTGTCCAAAATCCTCAACAACCCCCAATCAAAACTACCAGGTCAGCCAGACCTAGAACTGGCATCCATATTATTGAACCGGCCGACCTGCCCCCGCGTAGCGCTCCTCCTTTTGGAAACCAGGCGGACACTGGGGGAAGGAAATATAAGGGAAAAAGGCCCTTGGTGCCTGAAGGCACCATTGTTTTTTTAGGCGGTCAAGGGTCCAAGGGAGGGAGCTCGGCCGAAGCTGCTGAGCTGGACATAGTGTTGTCCTCTGAACTTAGGGGCGCTCCTCAAGCTGCTGAAGGAGAGGTTGAGAACCCGAACCCCGATCAGGCGGCCAAGGAAACAAATGCTGATAATTTCAAGGACCCGCACTCCTGTACGGTTGGCGACACTGCCTTGACCTTCCTGCACTTAAAGTTCGAGGAGTTCAAGAAGTTCCTCTACATGGGAAAAGGCTATGAAATCATAGCGCCCACTCGCTCTTACTCAGTGGTCGTCTGGGAGAGCAAGAGGCAGCGGAAGATATGCTTCAGCGTCTACCGCACTGCTTAGAAGTGGGCCTTTGCTTCCCTCTTCATCCATTCTTCTAGGAGCTCCTGGACGAATACAACATTGCTATCTTCCAATTGGTGCTGAACAACTGGTTTAACATTTTTGGCTATCTGGTGACGTTCCTTTGGCAAGGCTTCAAGTCGGGCGTCCCTATTTTTTGTGATATGCATTCCATGGTCCGCCTGGATACTAGCACGGACATGTGGTTTATTCTGAGCACCCAAAAAGATTATATGGTGGTGATGGATAGGCCGTCCAAGTGGCGAGACTAGAATCACTGATTCTACCGCATCAAGAAAGATGAAGAAGGGTTTAACTTGCGAATGAATCAGTTCAATGTCGATCCAATTCAGCTCGGCCACGGGTAGCATAGACCTAGCAAGCCGCCCGACCACCTTGACTACATGCACCAATTGAACTACTTCGGAGTTAGAAAGGTAGTTAGGGATGGAAAGACAGTGACCGTGCCACTCAATTGGATTCCTTTAGCTGTGTGGCTAGGAACCCAGCTTCATGTCGGCCTGTGGCCTGTACCAGAACTACCCTCAAGGTGGAACCTTGTGACTTAGTCGTTCTAATGCTATTTGTATCATACAAATATTCTAACATTTTTTCCTCTTTTTTCTTCCTCAGACGTAGCTCTTAGAATGCTGGATCTGGAGCAGAAGGGGGAGGTTGACATGTTCGAGCTAGATTTAGCGCCGGTACAAACTCCTCCAACAGCAGCACAACCAAGCTAAGGAGGTACTGACAATTTATTCATTTTTTTTTGGGCTGAGCTTGTGTGTTGGAGGAAGAGTCCTTCCCCATTTCACTTGGACACAATTCAACTTGTTTTGAAGTTGAGTTGATAAGTTAGGAAATATATGCTATCTGATTTCACCCAGACGTTGTCTTTTATCTATGTTTGCCGAGTTGATTGGTTGGGAAGGTGTTCCTTCTCAACTTTACTCGGACACTTGTTCATTTCATCTGAATTTATCTTGTTTCTTTCAGGCGCCCGCTCCTACTCCCCAGTCGAAGAGAAAGCATCTGGCTTCTGATTCCAAGGACGGCCAATCGTCCAAAGCCAGGAAGACAACAGCCTCAAGGGCTAAGTCTTCCACCAAAGCGGCCAAGGTCACGCCGCAAACTACTTCGAAGCAATCTGAAGGAGAGCCACCCTAGGTGTCACCTAGTGGGTTCTCTAAGCCAGTGGATCCACAAACTGAGGCGGTTCATGATGAGTCCGTCCATGTGGACGATGGGGATAAGTCATCCTCGGAAAAAACGACCGGAAGCTCGACCTCGACTCCGCATGTCAAGGAAGTAGATAAATCTGAGTGGCAGAAAGCTGCTTCTTAGTCGGCCAAAGGACAACGCGGCCGCACACAAGAGGAAGGGGATGAGCCAATGCCCCCTCTTTCATTCAACCTTCCATCTCCTCCATCTTTCTCGGACGGTAAGCTGAATCTTCGTAGGGCTGTTGACTTGTGTTTTTAAGTATGTACTTGCTTGTTCAATCTTAACACTTTTCTTGGTTTTGTGCAGACATTACCAAGGAGATGCACATGAAGCTACCCGGCCACTCGCTCACAAACGCTGACTGGAAAACTGGGAAGCCATGCAATGGGCCGTCCCTAAGGAGCAGCGGGACAAATTCCGTAGAATAAGTGAGGGCTTCCTTGGCCCAATGATCAACTGCAATACCGAGGTAGAATTTCCCTAACTTCCCATGGTTTATTTTTACTTTCAGACTTAGATTATTTTCTTAGTTTGCTTGTGTTAACTTATCTCTGCCCGGATGTTGATCTTCCTCAGACTGAGTGCCTTCCTAGATTGGAAGGATAAGGAAAATGAGAAGATTAAGGCGGCCTGGGCCACCATTACCCGGCTACAAGACAAGATCACCGACAACCTGGCCCTACAGAAGATTCATTACAAAACGGCCCTTAAGGCTCCCTTTGAGAAGTCAGCTCGGCAAAATGAGGACATCGTCAAGATTGGCGATGCAATCCAACAAGAGCAGCTGGCCAGGCAGGTGCTTCAGCTAGAGCGGGACGAGACGGTTGCAAATGCCTCTTAGTGGAAGGAGGGCTTTGAAGCCTCCAAAAAACTGAAGAATGAGTTGACCTCGTCCCAAGAAGCTCTTCAGACAACCCTGGATAAAAAAGACTCCCTCAGCACTTGAACAAGTTCATTGCGGACTTGTCCGAGCAGTTGAAGGCCCCTCGGTCGATAGATCCCATGGAGGTCATCTTTATAGAGCATAGGTCGAGGAAAAGCTGAAAAGCTGCTTCCACGAGGCCTTCTTCCTGCTAAAAATACAAAGTTGTCCATGTGATGTAAACCTAAACTAAAGAATAGTTTCCTCAAAAAAAAAAAAAAATAAATAAATAAATTAAAAAATAAATTAAAGAATAAGTGTTAAAAAGTTAGGGTATGATGGGTATTTGTTGTGTGAACAAAGATAGTTGCAATATTTATGAAACTTCTTTAAAAGGCAATTGGTGCAATATTAAAATAACAGAAGAAGTAGAGAACTTCAATTGAGAGTGTTTATTTATTATTATTATTTGTTATTATTTCTCTTTTATTTATTATATTTTATATGTTATAGATCAAATATTATATTGTGATTTTCAAAGTATCGTTGGGCCACACAGTAGTTTAGTTTCAAAGTAATGTTATAGTTCACTTTTTTATAATAAATTGTGATATTTAAAGTCAAATATTACACACATGTCTATGCACTAGTTTGACTTTATTTTATATAATTGAATATTAATGAAAATTATTTTAAAAATTATATTATGAAATTTTATATTAATACCTATCTAACAACATATTTTATGATAAAATATATTTTTATTATGTTAGTAAATAAATTATGGTAAACCTAATGCATGAATAGTGAAAAAAAGTCCAACGTCTCATGTATTATGGGACGGTGAGAGTAACTCAGTACATTACCCGCGCCGCATATTAGAGTATTAGACTACAATTTAATTACAAAAAAAAAATATTAATAATAATAATAATAATAATAAAAAAGTTAGTTTTAAAGACAAAAATTCATATGTAGCTAAGATTAAGGGATAGAGGAAGTCAAATTTGGTCCATTTTTAGTGAGGTCGAACAGTGTCATTTTTCAGATTACATGCATTATGCACTGTAGGCTATTTATACCTGGTCAGTTAGGGATTGGTCGACTAGTTTCTAGGTTTGAATTTGGGTTACATAATTTTTGGAGGGTTGAGTCACAATCTCACAATTTAAAAACAGTACATAAAGGGCCCAAGGTTTAATAGCAGGCCCATTATCAACCGTTGAATTAGTTGTGAAATTGTAAAGAACATCCAAGGAAATGCACCAGTAATCTCACTTAGCTAGCTAATTGCTTGCGAAGGAAGGATTTACCTAAACTAAACAAACGAGAAGCAAAGGTAGCATTACCATGGAAATACACGTGTAAATTCTAGAATCAATACAATGTAATTCCTATGGTCTAATTTGTCAACACATAATTTCATATATTAATATCTTCTAGTATTAAATAAGCAAAGATTATGATGTTTGAAAAATAAAATAAATGTAGAGAATCTAACAAGATCTAACATGAATATGTTTTTTCTAAAGAATAAATCGCAAATTGAAGTAAAAGTAACTTATGTGATTAGTGCTCTAAGTCAAAACATATCAGCTAAAAAAGCCTAAGAAGAACTAGAGAAAGTATAATTATTAAGAAAAAATTAGTTCTCCATTATATTTACGTAGTATTTAGATAAAAATAAGGCCTGCTAGAAAGTTGTTAGAAATGCAACATCCCCGTTGTTGAAAACATAGTTCACAATGCTTGGAATTGCCAAAGAAATGTCAAAGAGATGTCAAAGAGAAATGCATGTAGAGCAGCATATATATAATCCCTTGTAGCTTCACATAGAAGTTCCAAATCACACAAATTGACACATATTAATCTTGAAGATCAGGAACTAAGATGGATAATGGAGGAAATAGGCCAATAAAGAAGGATGATATTCCAGAGTCGACAAAACGGTGCTGGGTAAGGCATTGAAGACTATATTCACCGGAAAGCCTCCATCATCGGGGGGGCAGGGAGATTCTTCAAATGGTTCAAGAGTCGCACCAGAGTAATGGTATCACTGATGTTATTAATAGGGACGAATATAGTAAAAAAAAAAAAAAAAAAAAAAAATAAAAAAAAAAAAAAATAAAAAAAAAAAAAGGTTTGGTATGTCACTGATGTATGTGTTGTTAATTTCTTATCTTTCATTTTAACAATGTAACTTATCCATTTTGTTTGAATCTTATAGCAGTTTCTTGCTTTAAACAAATTCCGAATTCACCTTTCATATTAAGAAAATCTAAGCAGCACAATCCGAGAAAGTTTCAGCATATTACATTTCTATAGAATCGACTCTGAATCTCCTCTAAGATTTTGAGGTTTGATGCTTCTTTTCCACAAATGACTTCATAATCAATTACTTTCTGCTGGAGGAACTTACTGTCAGCAAGATATTCGTTTTTTTTCCCTATAAGCAATGATATCAAACAGCACATGTCAAAATTAAACTATGTGCCGATTTTATAAAATGTTGGTCAATGCAAGAATTTTTTACACCACTCGATCCAGAACATGCCTGTAGGATGCTACGGCATAATCTCTGATGGGAGCAATTACCTCTTTTCTTTCTACTATGTACACTAGCCTACTAATTTCATATCACCACAGACTCTGAAGCTGCTCTTGCAATGTTGCTCTCAAACGTCTATTAGACTCTAGGTCACTGGCCAATTTTTCCTTCAAAGCTATAAGTTCTGACCTTCTCGCCTTAGCAGCTTGAACATCACGATTTTGTGCCTCACTGTTGCTATCCTGAATTCGCAAACAACATGAATTGAGGTGACAGATAATAAGTAAAACATTATACTGAACATTAAACACAATAACCAATACTCCATGAACATTTTCATAAGTAATTTATGAATTTCAATGAGCACTTCAAGTGCATCAGCTTTAAACAGGTTTGCCAAATCATAAATCAATGCTGAGTGGATGTTGGAAAAAAATGCATTTGTGATCCACTATAAAGTCCCAAGAAGATAACTTTGAGCATTGAAGAAGTGTAATCTCATTTCAACTGTCAATGACCTAATACAAAATGCATTATCCATGGCCTAAACGATATTGCGTAAAATTTGGCTAAAAATACTTGAAGGGTGCAATTTCTTCATTGTCATGAAGATGAAAGAAGGAAATTATTATCCATTTCTCAAATCAATTGTTCCAATGCTCGACAGATCTAGGAAGAAAGCTTAGGTTCCCTACTTCATTCACTTCCCCTTCCCTATATCTTCCTTCATTCTTTTCCCTCTATGATTTCTCACCATTGTCACCAATTAAACACACCAAAGCCCACACCATACACAATGCAATGACCTCAATTCCATCTACAACTCAGTTTGATCAGCAAAACACATCAAAAAAACAAAGTTCAGCTTCTACTCGCAGCAAAGTTAAAACCAAGCATAACTTATACTGCCCAAACCAGGCAGACTTCATACCAAAAGAATACAGCTAACCAAAGTCAAATTCATCATTCTACAATAACCTCAATAACATCATATATCAATGCGCTTATCAACATCCCCTCTACATATAACGGAAGATTGTTTGATCTTCATATCTGACCAAACACCATCACTTCACATGTATAAAGAACAGAATGTGCATTAGTGGGGGAGTTCATTAACTTAATCTTCATTATTAAAGAACTTCCTTGCTTATGCAAGCTACAGAGTTAAGAAATAGGAAGTATTTATCTATAATTCCCTACTTGAACAAAATCAAAACTCACACCAACTTTGGTGTTCAGAGTATCAACCACGGTGTCCCCGACCACTCAACACTTCTTATTTATATAAACAAATCTGAAAAATAAGGCCGATGAACACTAAAATCATACCATTTTTCATACACAGCAATTTCATTTTCTAAGTTCTATGTAATTATTTTCATGATTAACAGTACTTACAGAACTAGATAGTATGTTAATGTTAATTATCCAAATTCACCTTATCCCTGTACCTAATTACCATTATTATGTAGCATTAATTTTCATGATTAACCGAGTTTGAACACAATATCGCATTCCTCCCAGAATTCTTGTCCCTAATTAGAAACACAATATCTCATTTTTGTGGTTCCATCATCCACCAACTTTTTTTTATTAACTTCTAATCAACAATCCGCTCAAAACCAAATAAATCAACAACACTACAATGCAACTCGGCTTATATTTAGGAACGCAGAGAGTAATACAGTCCGATTACTTAATTTCAAGTTCATCACATAACTCACCTTCTCATTACCACATTGCAATTCCTTAATTCTGCTACCAATTTCTTCAGCATACTTCTGAATTCCCTTCCTAAAATCATTCATTTCAGAACATTTGAGAGCATAAAATTTATCTCTCTCTTCCTCCAATGGCTCAAGCTCCTCTACCTCAACCTTCAAATCCCTAACCAGCAACACATTACAAACAAATCAACACAAACTAACGAATTAAATTCAAATAAAATCACAACTTAATCAAATTGAATTCAATACAATTTCCAGTAAATCGAACCTCAATTGTTGAGCACGGGATAGAAATTGACGATCCAAAAACTCAATTTCGGATTTGAGTGACGAGATTTTGAAGTTATCTGATGCAAATTTTTGATCTAAGATCAAGCATCTCTGTTCCAGTAATCTGATTTTGGCGTGTTTAGCTGATAATGATAGGGATTTCCTCTTTTGTAACTCTTTCTCATCCTACAAATTGGTAGTTTACTTTCCAATTTTAGAGTATGAGAGGGAGTGAGATGATGATAATGGAGAAGAATGAAGAGGGAAAACCTGGAGGAGAGAGAGTCTTTGATTACGAGTGGACTCCATATCTCCAAGCCTTTCTTTGAATGCTGATTGAAGCGCCATTGATGAGTTGCTTGCTCACTTGCTCCTGCGAATTCTGCAATAGTGATTTTGGATTTTGAGTGCAGTAAAATTAACTATGATTCCGTCATTGTTTTATTTTTTTAAAAAAAATTAAATCCAAAATCTTTTTTTTTTTTTTTTTTTTTTTTTGAATCCAAACACTTTGATTAAACACGTTTTGTCGATTACTAAGTGTCTAGTAGGGATGATAATTTTAAATAGATATCCAATTAACTTCATCTACTCAATATAAATAATTGGGCGAAAATTTGCTTTAAATAGTTGAAAGGCAGGTGATGGATGAAGAATGAGTGACAAATCGGATTTTGATTTGGATGGAGCTCTACTTTATCCGTCATCAATTTGCCTATCATTTAATTCGTTGTCCACCCATTTAACAAAGAAAAAATAAGTAGTAGGTTGGTTTGTGAGTGAATGATATTTGTGAGCCATTATAAGAATAATTACTGCGTTGATTAAGGTGGTATTATATTTGCGTTTGTGAGTCGAATGAATGCTAATATGTAAAACGTGCTCTACTAATTTGAGTGAAAATTATACATATTGCTTAATAATTAAAAGATTGCTTTATTTAGCTTTGCTAAAAATAAAAATAGAAAAACACAGAGCACCATTGATTAATTTTATATTTAGTTAGAAAATCTAACGTAGAATGAAAAATTAACATCGATAATCTTGATATATTCATAAAAAATAATAAATTATAATTATCACCCTTTAAGTATTTGACCCACCCAATTCACTAAAATGACGGACGGATCATATACGGATGGCGAGTGGAGTGATAGGATGGATGCGGGTGAAGCTCCATCCGACCTAATCTGATCTATTACCATTTCTAATTAGAATATTTGTCAACTTAAAATTGTTTATACATATGAGTATTCCCGTTGTACTGTATACAAACATTTAATACATCATTTTGTTTTGGACACGTGTCAATATACAAATTTGATTACTAATATCTTTAATATAATGTTAATTTACCATTTAAAATAGTGATATTATGAAAATAAATAACATTAATAACATTTGGTTTCTTCAAAAAAAAAATTAACATTTGGTTTCTATGAACGGTTTTTATTGATAAAAAAAAATATAAAAATAAATAAAAAAAATAAAGTTAAAGTTAGTAAGTAATGCATGCAAAAGTTAAAGTGATGTATTTATATAACTATGGAGGGAATATAAATCATAAAAAAATTAATATTCAGAAACTAAATATTAAGACGAATCTAACAAATAAACATAAACATTGATCAAATATATTATATGAATATTGTAAAAATCAAAATTAAGCTCTTAGAAATAATGAAAGAAGGAATGTTATATACGAAGTACTTACGAACTATATGACTCAAATGGCAATACGTAAACATTCATGGTGTTATTGTTATGGGTCCAGTCCACATATAACATGTTTTAAGCCATTTAACTTTTAGGCCCAAAATGATGCTTAAAGAGTTTTGGTTCATTTGAACTTGGTATCTCGTAGAAGCTTTGTGAGTACTTGACTTTAGATCTAGTATCCTAAAATCAACAAAGGACATGAGGAGCAACAAAATACACACACGTAGCAGTGTCAATTTGGGTAACTAGATGAAGTTTGAGTTGAATCACAACAGGTCGAGTATGTTCAGGTCAAGGTTATCCTTTAACCCACCTTGATGTGGGTCGGGTCAATTTCGGGTCAAGATCTGTCGGACCAGAGCTGGTTTAAGTCGGATCAATTTTAGACCGATTTATATTCAGTTCGGATAAATTTGTATCGGGTTCAAAATGAGTTTGGCCTGGTTAATTTTGGTTTAGATGACTTTGGGTCTGATTGATTTCGGTTCGCTTGATTCTGATTCGATTAAGTTCGATTTAATTTGATTTGGATAAGGTTGATTCATTGGGTCACTTCCAATTCATATCATTGTTGGGTTTTGCTAAATATGGGTCCAGTTGACCAAATTCAAGATTCAAATAAATTCTTTTTTAAACTAGAGTAATTATTGAACTATTTGCCTTGTTAATGGGTCACTATCTGGTTATTTATGTGTCATTTTTCATATCGAGTCACTAATACATACTTACGTAGTATTAGTTTTCTGAATAGATGTGTCATTTTTATCTTTAAGCCAAATTAAAATTGAATTAATAAACTAATGACATATTAATAGATGATAGCCACATATTGATTAAATTGAACTTGAGATTAGTTAATACAACAAATTGATTAAATTAAAGAAATATACTATTATACAGCATTACAAATCAAAAATTAAAAATTGTGAAATAAAGAAATCCTTCAAATAAAATACGATCGTGGAATAGAACTTACACTGTGAAACATCGATCTCTCATTCAGATCTTTAGAATATACAACCTTTTGGAGAGATAATTTAATGATTTGTTGTAGTTATGAGGATTATTTTCATCTGATTGGTCTAATTGTATTCGAGAAATTGATAAATTTACGATCGTGCATAATTCTTTACCAATGAAGCAATTTCACGGCAATCCATCAAAACAAAAATGTAAATCCTCCTTCAAAAGAGAAGAAGAAATACCTATCTTTCGAAGAAGAAAAGATCCTCCAATAGAAGAAGAAAAACCCTACATTTCTAGAGGGAGAAAATTCTTCCTAGGACAGTAGGAGGTATTATAAACCAAAAAACAAACAAAAATAAAGAGAAAAACATGCAAAAAACAAAGATTGGGCTTTTCATTGGTGAAAACCGTTGAAAGCCCCTCTAAATTTTAAAATTCAACAATGGAAGCTATGGTTTTAGAGAGAGGAGAGAAGAGAAGGATCGGAGGTTAGAGTTTATACTTTTCACTACTTTGCATTTTAAAAATTAGCATCATTATGGAAAATAATATATTATTTTTTTTATCTTTTAAAAAAGATACTCCTTTTCATGTTTAACTAAGTGAAACGTTTTTACTTTGTGCACTATTCATCTAATTCATTTTGACTAATTTTTGTGATTTATGCATAATAATAAATATAGTCTTGTAGGTATTTGTTGGAATCGTCTCAATAAATAGTTCATTAATATTCAATTGTTATAATTTTCACTTATTGATGTTTAAAGATATTATCAGTTAAAGTGCTACATCAACATACGTACACAAGGAAAATATTTCATTATTTAACCACAAAGATAGTGGATACAAACCAAATTGCTTTGGTGGAGCTTTAAATCTTTAATACCATGGGGATTGCCATTTCCTAAAACAAATTAAACACTATAATCATTCTTAATAACATGAACATAACCTATCGACCCAAACAAAAGTTACCTACATATATTTTTTGCACCCACTAAAGCAACAATGTACCCTAAATAGTTCTCTTTCTTTCCTCCCCCAACTTGATTTGTTGTTTGGTTTGTATACCTTTTAACAAAAAGCATATGAACAATGAAGATGTAAATTGTCCACAACCAAGTCATAAAGCTACCAGATCATGTGATCATCCCAAAGCTCATAACCAACCATGTGATCCCAACCTTAAAGCTTAACTAACAAACAAACAGCCGAGCTACATTTTTATTTTTTATTTATTTTTTTTTAAATAGGCATGCATTGAGAAGACTTTTCATTGTAATGGAGCCTTACACAGGTCAACCCGACTTGAGTTGCAGGTAAGGTGTCTTGGAAATAGGGGGGAGGGTAAGAAATTCTCCATCACCAAATTTAAAGTGTCCCAACTGAAAATTAATCACAAATCTTCATGTTTCTCAGATACTATTCTTACCATTAGATAAAATGCTACTCAGTACTTGTTAATAGCTAAGCAACTGAAATTAATGGCCCCAAAATTACATCAAATGCGGATTGGTATAATTGTTGGGCTTTGTAATTTACTCTTAATCTTAGTTTCATGATAAAATTGTTACTTAGTAAAATCGTGTCTATCTCTAAGTCAATGAATTAAGAATCATTTTAAAAAGTTACACAAAATTATTATTGACACGCGCCAGCAAGAATAACTTCTTTAACAAATTAAACTTCATAGTCCTTTAATTTTTTCAAATTTAATCATCATCATCATCATCATCAAAACCTTAACAATATTGTCCATCTTTAATCTTTACCCCTTAACAAAAGTGCTTACATCATTTAATTTATTAATTAATCAACTACAAAATTAGTAAATCTCTAAATTAAAGTATATAATTCATTTTGTAAAAAAAAAAAAAAATACATCTTATTAGGTCCACCTAAATTGTTGTGTTGCATGTGCACCACGTTGGATGATGTGAGACGATGTACATAAACCAATCCATAAATCTTCATCATATTATGATGAAGCTGAATTCATTCATAGTCCTTAAGTTTCCTTAAAGCAGCAGTTTATCAAAAGCTTCTTTCATTAAAGTTAGCTAATGCTGACGGTATATAGCCAGATTAAAGAATAAAGTTAAGGCCGCCAAAGTTTTATAAACTTTTTTACTTTATTATGTCATGTAAATTGTAATTAATTACTAATTGAACGAAAATCAAGTATATTCTTAGAATTACAATATCTAATTACGTTGAAAAAGAACATACTTTTGAACTTTTTGGTTTTACTTAATGGACTGTCATGGATTCCACGTCCTAAAAGTGAAGATACAAATTGATTCAAATCTAATTGGTACAAAAGAATTGCCTTTATACATATTTAATTGAACATAATTTTATACAATACAATAATATATTACATTCGGAGCAAAATAATACTTTTGCCGTCCCCTAAAAAATCAGAGATATTACATATATATAAACTCTATCTTAAATACATAACCCCTAATTTTATACACAAGTCTAGCCTTTCCAAGTCTTACAAAAGTCAATAATCAACATTATAATAAAGACCCGACTTATATAAGAACCAAATTGACTAAACCCGTCAATAATCATGAATACATACACCTATTGTATACTGGACCGACTGAATAGATATATTGTAACTTGATAGTCAACAATGTAGTATGATTGTCTGACTAGTGACTCAATGTGGGGTGAATCACACATCATACAAGAATAATAAAATGGAATTTAGGGGAGAAGAAATATGGATAAGTAAAAAAAATGAGACATCATAAAGTAAGTAAAGGTGCTTGACTGTTTTTAGAAGTTGAAAGTTTCATATCCAACCAAGACATCCATCATAATCGGGTTGTTATGGTTTAAAAGAACATGGGGTGTATTCTTCCAATTTTCGGTTGTATCTTGAAGCTGTTTTCCTTGAGCTTGAAAAAAGTTGGTGAAAAGAACCAACTTTTGAAGCCAATGAATTTGCAAATCTCCTGAAAATATTATCTTGTAGTCTCTTGATCATCACATACTTTGTGTACCACCTTCTTGTCAAATAAGCCATTGTCAAATGTTGATATCCTGAATCTAAATTCTTGTTTCCGC